GATAGCCCTCGTAGCTTTGCGCGAAATTCAAAACAAACCTACATAGGGATTTCTATAAAATCCTTTAAGATGTGAAGAATTTAAGACCTGATCAAACAAGGACATCCAGAAAAGTTCGAAAGCTAATACAAGAAAACACAAGTGTAATAATTATACAAGAATATTTAGTATACTCTGTAAAATATATATACACTTTAATTAAGTTAGAAAACTCAAGAAACAATATACCAATTTAGTTTTCTCGGGCCAGTTATCACAAACAGATGATTAATTTTAGTCAATGTTTGCCCTCAGTAGCACAGAGGTATATCTACGGACTTATACTGCTAGAAACCGGGTTTCGATACCCGTGGTGGGTGGAGCAAAGATAGCCCTTTGTGTAGCTTTGTGCTTGATAACAAACACATATTGCATAGTTTTTTACAGGCGACAGTAGTTTCAATAAAAGAAGTTGTTGTAGAGTTCTTATTGTTTACACCTCTCGCGATATCTCTCATGACTGTTGTCATATATTAGTAAGAATTTACAAACTGTTTTCATTCAAGGTTCATTTTACTTTGTGTAAAGATGATTTTTGATATAAGACAAGCTTTAGAAAAAAAAAGGTAAAATGAAATGGAATTATAATATGCTAGTTTGTTTACTCAAATAGTGAATTATCACTGTACAAGGATGAATCGTCTTAAACCTCCAATAACTTAGAACAAAATATTTCAATTGTTTAGGTTTCTTCAGAGCAAGTTGTAATGTTCACAAAGAAATTGAAGTAAGGAATTTCTGTTTTACTTCATCATTTTAAAATACAACTTACACATGAACTTGTCTACAACACAAACAAACTGTTTCCGGAAATGACGTCAAACCAGTGTTTCACAAACTTTTTTGTTGGCTGACCACCTGATTGTCTTTTATCTTTGCAGACCAAAATGTGACCTACACACTACACTGCCACTTTCTTTTCGTAATTACGCAACTTTTCCTCAGACCACTAAAGAATCCACGTTTTATTTCAGCATTTTTAAATATAATTTAAACATAAGTTTCGCAAATAAACTATATCTAGAAGTGACGTCAGACCGATAGAGAGCATCAGGTTCTTTGTTTTTGCTAACTAATTTTGGAATGTTGTTTTAGTCATAAAAATCATGAAGGTCTACACAGTTTCTCACTTTCATTTCTCACTCTGTATTTATCATAAATACTTAGACTGTAACTGAAGTATTTTTGTTGTTTTTATGCAGACAAGGAGAGGAACTTATTGTTGATTATGGTAACGAAGCATTAATTGAGTGGCTGGTTGTGTAACCCATTTACTGATGAAATCAAAATCAACTACTTTCAATTAGATGGTAAAACTATCCAAAAAGGATAAACAATGAAATATTTGTTTCAAAGGGTTACTAAAATGTGGTATAAATATAAAATTAGGAAATAAGAATATTTGATTCAAAATCATTTTCTTTCAAAGGCAATAACCAAACGTTCGTTACAGAATAAATAAACCAAAAACAAAAGATTTCGTCTTTCATCATATGGCCAAGCTGGTGGGTTTGATGTTGATAGATCTCAAATGCTATCAAGTTAATAAGTCTGAAATGATGTCAAGTAATGGGTCTAAAATTCTATCAAGTAAGGAGTCTGAAATGGTACCAAGTAGTGGGTCTAAAATGCTGTTTTTACACACACCTCTAGTTTGAAATGAATAATAAACAAATTGAAAGGAACACTAGAAGAAGCATATGTAGCCAGAATGGTTTTTAACACAAATATTGTGCCTGTCGAGTTAACATGCGGACCGAGTTTTTACACTACTTTTGCTCCATAACTCAGTCGAAAATGATCGGATTTTGATGAAACTTGTTGTACATATATAGAATATTATTCCTCATTGTCCTGCTAAAAATGGTCCATGTCCGTTGATAATGACGGACATGTGGATACAGTTTCTTATTTTTTGTGAGCCGAATATGATCAACGTTGCGTGACGGAGGTGCATGCTCTATTGAGTGCTCCTCTAGCATCTTAAAATAGTTGAAACACATATCAATTGAGTTATAAGTATTAACACTCAGATTTTTTTGATTTTTTTCCAAGAAATAACTTTTAAATTAACTAATTTATAAGCCCTACAAATTAATTTTGGTTTTAGTTTAATATCGTTGACAGTACAGTTTTACAAATCATGGTATATGATTGTCTCTAAGTAAAGTTGTCAATCACATAAGTCCATCTCTTATTTGTTTTTAGCGATT